GTATACATATATATGTGACATAATGATGAAAATTACGAAACCGAAAATGTATCAGCCAAAATGAAAACAGTCTAAGGAATTGTACTAAAGAGTTTTCTTCTCAGATACAAAAGTTGAGCAAATTATTTATTACAGGTTATTTGATACGAGATGCAAATATTTACAAATACGTAAGCCTAATAAAACGGTTATGTTTCTTTTGGAACTTTCGCGCAAAGCTACAAAAGAGCTATCTACGCATAGCCATTCTTAAGTTTGAACAGATAAGCTAGAAGGAAGATAGCCAATCAATATCACCCACCGTCAACCGCTGGATTACTCTTCTCTGGGATTTGACTGTCGCTCTTACTAACATAGCGAGTTTTTGCGGCAAGGGGACGCGAACCATGAAACCTTAGATTCACAGTTAAGGCACACTAGTCGTTAGCTCACGCCCGGCCTACTAACGCTTGGTAATACATCTTTAATATAAAACGAAATGTACTAAACATGATGCTACCACGGCGTTACATTACTCAACTTAGTCACTACAACAGTAGTTGGAAATAAAACCAAAAATTACAGGTTTGGTTTGATTTTTGCCCAAACCTACATGAGAGCTATCTGTTCTAGCCACCCCTAATTTAGTCATGATAGACTAGATAGTCAACACCACCCACCGCCAACTCTTGGGCTATTTCTTTACCCACGAAGGGTGGGATTGACCGTTACATTATAAAACCTCCATGGCTGAGAGGACGACAATGCTCCGTGACAGGGATTCGAACCCGCAACTCTCAGAGTGTGTTTCTGTGTGCCTTAGCCACTAGACCATGCGAGGCCTAAACAATAGATCAATTCGTGAGTAAGAAATTTAATCAAAATAAAACAATATGATATTTATAAAACTTTATGCAGATATTATAGTTACATTATTAAAAACAAAAAACTTATATGCATGTATATTTATTTACTAATATTGTCATATATGAATTTTTAAATATAAAATTATAATACACTAATGTTGGTTAGAAAAACTTATAAACACAAAATTATGTCATATCAATATTGTTAGGAAGAAACTATATAAATACAACATAGTGCTATGCTAATATTGTTGACTAAACAGTGTATAAATACAGCATAGCGCCATGCCAATATTGTTGACTAAACATTTTATAACTACAGCATAGTGCCATGCTAATATTGTTGACTAAACATTTTATGAACACAGCATAGTGCCATGCCAATATTGTTGAATAAACATTGTATAAATACAGCATAGTGCCATGCTAATATTGTTGAATAAACATTGTATAAATACAGCATAGTGCCATGTTAATATTTTATAAACACAAACATAGTGTTATGTTAATATTGTTGACTAAACATTTTATAAACACAACATAGTGTTATGTTAATATTGTTGAATAAACATTATATAAACACAGCATAGTGTTATATTAATATTGTTGAATAAACATTATATAAACACAGCATAGTGTTATATTAATATTGTTTAATAAACATTTTATAAACACAACATAGTGTCATGCCACTATTGATGATAAACAGTTTATAAACACAACATAGTGTCATGTTAATATTGTTGAATAAACATTATATAAACACAACATAGTGTTATGTTAATATTGTTTAATAAACATTTTATAAACACAACATAGTGTCATGCCACTATTGATGATAAACAGTTTATAAACACAACATAGTGTTATGTTAATATTGTTGAATAAACATTATATAAACACAGCATAGTGTTATATTAATATTGTTGAATAAACATTATATAAACACAGCATAGTGTTATATTAATATTGTTGTATAAACATTTTATAAACACAGCATAGTGTTATGTTAATATTGTTGAATAAACATTATATAAACACAGCATAGTGTTATGTTAATATTGTTGAATAAACATTTTATAAACACAACACAGTGTTATGTTAATATTGTTGAATAAACATCATATAAACACAGCATAGTGTTATATTAATATTGTTGAATAAACATTTTATAAACACAACATAATGTTATGTTAATATTGTTGAATAAACATTTTATAAACACAATATAATGTTATGTTAATATTGTTGAATAAACATTTTATAAACACAACATAGTGTTTAATATTGTTGAATAAACATTATATAAACACAGCATAGTGTTATATTAATATTGTTGAATAAACATTTTATAAACACAATATAATGTTATGGTTTATAAAATGTTTATTCAACAATATTAACCAACATAATGTTATGTTAATATTGTTGAATAAACATTTCATAAATACAAAATAATGAAAGTATGGGTAGATCATTTAATAATACAAAAATGGAACACATAGAATTGTTTGTAGTTTAGTTACTGTTGAAATATTTTGTATGTTTGTTGTTAAACTCAAAGCTACACAGTAGGCTAGCTGTTCCCTGCCCACTATGGGTATCGAAACCTCATTTTTAACGTTAGAAGGCCTGAGACTTGCCGCTGAGCCACCGTGAGGTGGGGGAGGTCTGTTGAAATATGGAGCAGATAATATTTCATTTACACACTTTTACGAGCACTCACCTTCCCACATTCGAAAACAATTTTTCTTGGGGAAAATAATTAAGCTACGTTGCCTGCATACCAATATTTCACGTAGATAATATCCTAATTATCGAATAAATTCCCAAAACAGCATTTGTCTTGTGTCTTGGTAGTCAGACAGGCACGTAAAATGTGTGATTAAAGTGTTATGTGGAAGATTAGTGTCAATATTGTTAATGTTTAAAGTATAGTTATTGCAAGCTGTAGGATTCCTCGTAGTTCGCTGAAGAGAGCAGTTATTAATGTTTCACAGCATGGGTTGCAAATATGATTAGTTGCTTTTCCAAGAAAATCACAGCTTGATTAACTGATTGATATGCTAAATACAGCCATTTATAAATAAACCATCTTCAAATTCTTCGTTTACGCACATATATTTCTCAGAGTTGCAAATAAATCCCATTATACTTCATACAAAAACGACACGTGTCGTGTATATTTGTATAGATTCATAAAGTATGTTATCGAGCAAGGAACACGATTTTTTCCAGCTGTCGTGTAATTAAGAAAAATGACCTGCGGATATGCGATAGCAAGATCAACCAATTTCCTTCACGTATTTTACGGTACATTTTTATATATTGTCTAGCAATGTGATGCACTACGATGTGACTTTGCTCTAAGACAAACACTTAGTATACGTTTTCAGCTATGTTCCGAACAAGTATCGGATACAGTTTGTCTATTTTGGTTCTGAAGTTTCAACTAACCGATAACATCTGAAAAGCTCTATAGATGGTTCTCAGGATGTTTATTGGGTTATATTGTGGCAGAAAACATTATCTTAAATGAAAATGCATTGGCTTATACTGACTGAAATATGACATCTGTAACGTTATACTTTGGACTTTGTAAGATAGAGACTCTTCACAGATAGATCTAATATCCATTATATAAAGTAGTCACTATCAGATTGTTTAAGTGCCTGCTGTATTGGATGAGCACTTCAGAACGGAGTGAAACAGTTCTTGACACTCAGAGAATTTTTTAACAATCGTCAAAATTCCCAAGTTGACAGTTTATGTGCTAAGCGAAATAGCGTTGTGCACCCATTGAAAGTAGTATACAACTTGCAAACCTCAGTACTTCCAAAATACTTGTATTCCTGTAGGGCACACTACTTAGATCTCACAGATGTATTCACATGTACCTACATTGTATGCATCGACTCTTTTTACATTTGTTACAAGTAGGCGTTTATCACGCTCAACAGCACTTTCGAATGTTTCTTAAATGGTGTGTGATAAAGTATCTGACGTCATGGAATCATTTCATGTGTAGTTTAATGAACGCAACATTGTGATTGTTTTATGTCTAGAGTTTCACATTTCTAGCCCCCATATTCGCTTCTTTGTCAAATGCCCATACTTCGCGACGTCTCCGCATTCTGTTTCTAATCTATCTAATATAATATTTATATTAATTAACTTGAATTGCTGAGTGTGCTAGATGGGCTATGTCGCATGGTGAAAGAATGTCAGGGTACTTCTGGTAAAGCAATGTGTACAGACAAACAGAAACATTTATACTTATCTTGCGCGATTGATATCACGTGTCCTTTAAAACCTCTATATCCTAATAATGAGCATATTGTTATGAAGTTAAGGGTAAGAAACATCAACTGAGGTTGAGAGAGTTGAGAAATCGGCCGGCTTTTGGTCGTTCCCCAAGGGATTAGGGGATTAAAGCAATCAAAACAGGTGTATAAGGTCAGATGGAAAGAAGTTTGTTCGGCGTAGGTTGAGAAAGATATATAAAAGACAGGAGTTCAACGAAAAAATATTAGGAGATGCAAGTGAGAATAAGTACACTGAGAGAGGTGAAGAAATAAATAAAACCTAATTCTAAGTACGTGTGTTGTTGATTGCAGCAATGAATAGTAATTTGTTATGTATATTAGTATGAGTCAGTTCCTAACAGGAACAAGTTCAACATTAATAAAGTTGAAGGACATAAAACCAGGGAAAGCGAAGTTCGAAAATAGCACGATCTATAATAAAGTGGTGTCAGTAGTGGACGATCCACAACACATATCTTTTGAAAGTATCCTTTTACCAAATATACTTCAATAAACAACAACAACAACAATTATCATAATTTCTTTTACAGAAAAATTAATTACGTGCATGTAACTTTAATAATTTCTCAATAAAATATCATTGGACAATTAATTAACGAATAGAATCTTTAGAACCGAATATGGATCACATATATACGAGCAGGAAGGTATTAACAGCGTGCAGGTGCAATGACCTTGGTGTGTGTGTGTGTGTGATGTTATTTTTGTAACTAAGAAAAGTGAAAATGCTAGGTTTGAATATGAATTACAAACTTCTGAATTACAGAAACAGCAATGAACATTAGTTCTTACGGCTCATTAATGTCTGTAGTGTCAGAGATCAACTTACCCTCTTCACAGTATTGTCCTTTATGGCCAGGTTCACAGGTACATATGCCTTCTATGCACTTGCCTCGGCGGTTACAATCAGGAACTTCACATTCTCCAGCTGGAACATTGCATTCTGCACCCTTCCATCCCTTGTCACATCGACACGTGCCATGAACGTAACGCCCATGGTTGTTACACAGCACTGGGCAGACGTCTGAAATGAAGGTGACCCACAAAATTAGAAGTTTATAAATTCTGACTAATATTAAATCAAGTATTTCTTAGACTTCAGGAAACACAAAGTTTCTTGCTTAGTTTATTCCATCTTCGTTTATTTCTAGCCTAACTTTACATCTTCAGTTAAATCTGGCTGCTACCTCTGTGCCATTATGAATCCGCCGGTGGGTCAGCGGAAAGTTTTCAGGCATTAAACGCTAAAAACTGGGTTGCGATTTTCCTCGGTGGACAGAGCGCAGATAACTCATTGTGTAGCTTTGCGCTAAAAAGGAACTACAACAACAACATATGCCACTATGATGAATGGGTGGAACCATTATTCAAGAATGTAGTGATGCAATCTATATAGAGGTGGCATAAATTATCAAATTGTAAAGGTCAGTATGATGAATAAATGGAGCCATGTATGTCGCTATGATGAATGGGTGGAACCATTATTCAAGAATGTAGTAATGCAATCTACATAGAGGTGGCATAAATTATCAAATTGTAAAGGTCAGTATGATGAATAAATGGAGCCATAATTTAAGAAAGCGTGAACCAACAGCGATCCAATGCATGCAAAGGTATCACAAGTTATCGAATTGTAAAGGTCGCTATGATAATTGAGTGGGACCATTATTCAAGAAAAGGTGGACCAGCAGTGATCCAATCCATATAAAGGTGTCATAAATTACAGAATTATAAGATGTTTATAATGTATGGCAAGAACTGGATAAACAATATTTAACCCTAGAAATCGGTTATGCTATTGAATAATTTGTAATACTTTACAACTAAGATACGTGAGAGCTCTAACAAATAAATATGTTGAGTAGTTTGAATGTGATAATACTGTCAGGCAATAAGTAAATCTATAAAACGACAAAAATTCGGCTGAATCTCAGCTTCCAACTAGCCTGTTGCCGTCTCCAAATCAAAGCACGTAAACCTATAATATTTTCACCTTCGGGACATATTAATTCAAAAACAGGCGTATGTAGTTAATGTTTTTCATCAGTACTGATAAAAATGTAGTTCGTCTGGTGTATGGTGATTTTAAATATAACTGGCGGACGTTCACCTCCTAAAAATAATTTCCAATGAAAGTTTAAGGAGGACTTATCTCCATCACTATTCGATCAGAGAGTAGAATAGACCAAGAGTTCGAAATAGACAATGTTGACTAGCTTCCTTCTTTCTGGTATGTCTCCCGGTGGGACAGTGGTGAGTCTTCGTATTCACAATGCTAAAATCAGGGGATTCGATTCCCCTCGGTGGACACAACAGATAGCCCGATGTGGCTTTGCTATAAGAAAACACACTCTTTCTGGTACATACGTTCAACATTACAGGCAGATATGCACAGATAGCTCTTTTTATAACCTTATAATAAGAAGCAAAAACGTTTTTTATTTCGGTAAATTTCCGATCGATCTTTAAGTAAGTTATAAATGACGGAAAATAAGCAAGTAATGATACTTTTCAGTGTATATTAAGACAAGGAAATTTTAGGTCATGTTTGTGATCCACACAAATATCGAAATACTATGGATTCAACAAAATCAAAGCAAAAGTAATTAAGTAACTAAGCAAAATAATTTACCAAAAACATTTATAAAACAAGATGTGAAACAAAAATTACCGTTAGCATTCTGATAATGTGGAATTGACCGCTGTGATGGATTTATGTAATAAAAACATTTAATACCACCCATTAAAAAGAAAGAAATACACGATGCAGCTCTATTCATATACTAAGTTTACTTATTGCAGGTGTCCCGATTGGCACTGATCTTCTAGGCTTATTTGTAATAATAGCTCTGTTTGTTTTGAATTTCGCGCAAAGCTACACGAGGGCTATCTGCGCTAGCCGTCCCTAATTTAGCAGTGTAAGACTAGAGGGAAGTCATCATCACCGCCGCCAACTCTTGGGCTACTTTTTTACCAACGAATAGTGGGATTGATCGTCACATTATAACGCCCCCACGGCTGAAAGGGCGAGCATGTTTGGTGTGACGGGGATTCGAACCCGCGACCTGCAGATTGCGAGTCGAGCGCCCTAACCACCTGGCCATGCCGGGCCCTAATAATAGATATCAGTTCGTAAACACAGACGAAAAACTCAAACAACTCTTTAAGCTTCAACAAAAACAAATCCTAAAATGTACTCAAAATGACTTGGATGTTATAATAGAGTACATTGCCACAAGTACATCATCTTTGCAGAAATATCTGACGATTTTTTCTAAACATTTTAACAAGTTTTTAAATAATTGCTAGCGACATTTGTTTTCCCCACAAAATTCAATCAAATCATTTGGATTTCTAGTCATATATTCTAAATAATACACAGTACTTTAATATCCACACTTAAAATACTAGCTATTCTACAGAGGTTAAGTACGTTATATTGAACATTATTTTGGAGTGTCACACGTCGTTACAGCCCATGCTGACACGACTGGCTATGCTCCATTTGATTACCGTGCATCTTGAATATAGCCCTACAGTGTAGTTCTCATTGCAAGAGACTCTGTAGTAAGGCTGTCATGTTCAAAGCACACCTTTCCTCCTTGTTCAGTTTCCATGGTCCATCTATTGTACGAGGACAACAGTTTCCCAGAACCGATTTTAACCATCTGACCGCTCAGAAATGCTTAGGCGCTGTATCCGGTATGTTTTCGTTTGGAATAAAATGGACGCCCGTTTCATTCTCCTACTGCTTGAGATATGCGACGGTTGAATGGATATATCATGGAAGCAGCCTATGTACACTGAGTGGTCACAAGTAAATAGACACCTAATTTTTCGTCATTTAACTGATTTAT